TGCAGACTGACAACAGCTAAGAATAATGCAGGCCCTAGTGCCCTTTTTGTGTGTTAATTCCTTACCCTATCACCAAATTTTGCTCCGAAAAGGGCCCTTTCTCTGGTAAGAGAAAATTCAAAGACAAAAAAAGATTATTCCTTTCAGGAATAAAGAAAATATTCCACGACTTGAAAGACTCTTCTCTAGAACCAGAATGCTATTTACGTAGACTATAAGAGTACAAAGCATCTCTGTAAACTTTTAACTAAGTCACGTGATTTCTTTTATTTCAATTTTGATGGTTTAACTGATCAGTGTAAACCAAAATATAACAATACGTATATGTATTCTTGAGATATGGTTGAGTCAATCTTAAAACAATGTTTAAATATCTTATTGGGATTGATTGACTTAACCATCAGACACTGTTGGGCAGCCATTCTGAGTTCGACGAATATCCATAGAAATCAATAAACTATCGGTTTTTGTTGGTGTTTGTTGGATTCGGAGTGACTGCTTAGAAGTGTCTGAGACATATATTGCTTTAATATTTAAAAGAAGTTGTATATAAATTTTTATATTTTTAGATACATTTATATATATTATTTATTAATATTATTTATGTCATATTAATTTTGTTTTAACACGACCCCACAAGTCTCTGGCTTTAGGTATTTACTGTGTTTAAATAAAGTTTTATTATTATGATTATATACTTATAAGTTTATTTCTCTAATAGAAGGGGAACGCTATAAAGTTTGGTCACACGACGCAAATGTTGATGTTTGTGCTGGTCAAATGCCTAAACTCAGAGTAAATATTTCTGGACATGAAGATGATGTCAACATACGCTGGCGTTACAAAAAGGAATACGTCAAGAACGGAGGGCATTATGGTATAGGATATGGAGGAATATATCTTGTTGTATACGACGCCTTGCCTGTTCATTCAGGATGGTACTATGCAACTGTTTATCGAAAGAATGATGGTCGTAAACTTGGCGCAACACAGTTCCTTTTGACAGTGCGAGGTAAGATTACTTTTATACAAACTGTTCCGTGCCCTTTCAAAGAACAAAGTAATTGTAAAGATATCAGTGGTCTTTCTTCGATCCTCCCTCCCAAATCTTTTAACTTCTCTATTTTTGTTATCAAATAGCACAATTTCAATTCTATCAATACCATGAAACGAAAAGTGCTCTTCTATCTCTATCTTACAGAAGTCCACTTAAAACGTCTTGTCCCGGATACCGTAAGGATAATGCGTACAACTTCAACCATCTTGAAAGTTGAGAAATCACAGTTGGGCTTTTTATCATGGACGCATAATGGAAAGGATGTGTACGGCAAGGAACCTGGTTTAAATTTTTTAAATCCAAGTAAAACCCAACTACAAATTTCTAATGCCCGAGCGGAGCATGGGGGTAAATACGAGGTTACACTCAGAGAAGGCGAATGCAAGTTGCAGAAAGAAATTAATGTGGATATAATAGGTTTGTGAGTTAGTAAGCTCAGTTGAGATCGGGTAATTTAGTATTATCAACTGAGTTGATATCGTAAATTGGCTACCGAAAAGAGTTTTAAAGCCGATTTTTGGAGCGTTAGCCCTTTGTCAGAGCGGGTAGAGGAATAAACGAACTGTGTGTGTTTATATGCAGAAATGGAGCTACGCTAATTGTAGTTCGAACGCGGCGAAGGAAGATAAGTTTAATTCAGTTCTCAGTGAGGGCTTAAATTTTGTTCTCTTTTCCAAAAAGCCTAACAAAATTTCAGTTAAGCAAGGCGTTGAAAAGTTCCGCGGCGAAGGAAGATCAGTTCTTAGTAAGGGCTTAAATTTTGTTCCCATTTCCGAAAAACCCGACGAATTTTCATTTAAGCAAGATGTTGAAAATATCCTTCGCCGCGTTCAGTTAAATGCCTTTTTTACGATAAGGAAGACGATTTTAACACCTCGAACAAAGATACTTTTCAAAACACTTCAGTCGAAATGGACTCCCCAGAGGGTCAATTCGCATCTTAAGATTTTTTAATCAAAAAAATGTTATCACGATATTAACAAACTTAAATTCAATCGAAACGCCAAATTTTCCAGCCTTTCTTCGGAAGAATGGTTGGCACTAAAAAGTCTAAAAGAACGCAAAGACACAGTTAATCAAAGCGGCCGAAAAGGAGGCGCAGTCGTTGTTAGGGAGGCCGAACTCTACCAAGAAGAGGCTTTGCGGTAACTTTCTGACACCTCTTGTTATGAAAAAGTTGACAAAGGTCTCACTTTCATCAACTAAAACATCGTCAAAAACACGATAAACGACCAATTTTCGGTCAGTACAACGGCTCAAAACCTGAACTCTACGGTCGCTTCATTAACGACTGCATCGGAGCTACCTCCTCTACCAGAGAGGAACTCACTCAATTTATAAGCGCTGTCAATTTCTCTCCTCCGGCTCTGAATTATACCTGGGAAATTTCCGACACTTCTTCGGTTTTTCTAGACATCAAAATTTTAATTGAAGGCAACGGTCTATGCACTACTACAAACCTACAAATTCACATAGTTACTTGTTGTATTCATCTTCGCATCCATTACATATCAAGAACTCTATACTTTTTTTACAGTTTCTCAGTCTTCGTCGTTTACGTAGTTTAGGTTACGTAAAAAAGATTCAGAAACTGGCACTGTCTTTGCGCAACCTCCATAATTTCATTTAAACGCGTAAAAAACAAATAGGCAGCTTTTTGGTCAAAAGTTGATTTCAAACCAATGACTAACCTGGAACTGTCAAATGCACTCGCGCACGGTGCAAAACTTTTCCATTCATTCATAACGTTGAGAAAAGGTTGGGACCCAAGAGATCCATCAAGGTCACTGATCACTTCACGAGCACCTCTGCCGATGTCATCTATTGCATAACTTGCACTTATTTAAAGAAGTTATACATTGGTGAAACAGGAAGACTTTTAGATGACCAATTCCGAGAACACCTTCGCGACGCAGAAAGATATGACATGGACGCATCCAAATCAGTCGCTAGACTCTAAATCTCCCTTATCATTCTAAGCAGCATATGACAATTCGCAGCCTTTCCCTACATCTAGGTAGTTCAGAAAGTCGCAAATCTTTAAACCAAAAACTTTATCTTTCAAATCAGCACTCCTAATGCCTCCGGTATCAACGAGCGCTTTTCATTCAACTAATTGATTTTTGTTTTCCCGTCACCATATTTACACCAATAGCGTAACCCCCTTTTTTGCATAATAACACACATACAACCCACAATTCCTCCATTCGCTCTGACGAAGAGCTTACGCTCGAAACGCCAGCTTTGAAATTCTTTACTTTGACCAATTCACGTTATCAACTTAGTCGATATTACCCTGTTATACTCTCCTACCGACGTAGCACCACAGTATCTTTAGAAACTTACCCCCTTTACTCAGTTGAGATAGCTTGTTCTGGCTATTCAAATAAGTAACACGGATGATAACACTTACTAAATTGCGCTTAAGAATAGCCAGCATATAACAGTCGTAATTGCTTTCCAGTATTATGGAGACATAATGCTACAAACTTCTCCTCTAAAACCAATGATATAACTGCAATCAGAATATATATATCTTATTAGACATTTTGGTGTGTAGTATCGCTGAGTATTTTTACGAGTTGTACCGTATTTTGACGAGCACCTTTAGGCTTATCAAAATACAAACAACGAGTAAAAAAACTAAGCAATATTTCACACTAAGAGGTCTAATAAGTTATTTATTATCCAACCCCTCTTTTGGTGCCAAGTGTCATTTCTTGGAAGGCGGGAAATGCTATGAGGATAAAGAAGCGTAGCGGGCGCAGCCGACCGGTTAAACAGCTGTTTTACAGTACAAAATAACTAACTGTACAATATCGCAGGATAATTGCGCTCTATGGTTATACGTTTTATATTTTCCCGGTTAATTGTTGTCTTACGGAACGAACAGCTTTCTTATTTCTTGGCTCATAGGCGAGTTTTTTTTTCTGCATTTTGATCAGGAATATGGGCATCTCTCAAATAAGTGGGACTTGTAGCTGTCACAAGGTTTAAAATGAGGCCATAATTACCACTCTCTTTAAAAATTTATCTCTAAAATTGGCATTCCACCTTTTGTAGACCAGCCCCATTGCAAAAATCAGCTAGGTGCATCGAAATCCTACAAATATGCAATGATAGTGATTCAGTCGATGAAAGCAAAGTGTGTCATCTTTCTCAGCGTTGAAAGGCGAAGTTCACGGTGACATAGCTGTGAAATCATACCTCACACTCATCAATATTGTTTTAACACCGCAGGAAACTTTAAACTTTCATCGTTGAGTTCTGTTGACGACGTCTGTGTTGGTGGAAACGCTTCTTTCAAGATCGATTTAACCGGCGATTTATATAACCTTAGATACTACTGGGGACAACAACACTCATACTTGCCGAAAAATGAACATTTTGAGGAGAAGGCGGATGGGAAAATTCTGAATATAATCAACGCTTTAGCTATACATGCTGGAGTATATACTTTTTATGTTAAAACTAAAGAGTGGTATATGGTTCAGTCCATTTCGTTTGAGTTGAAAGTTCGTGGTAAGATCATTGCTACTTGCAAACATAATATAGTCTCTTAGGAAACATCATACAGACCTTTGCGACAGTTTTATTCTTTTCAATTCTGTACATGGAATCCTCTCTTCTTCCTTCCTTCCTTTCATCCATCCATTTATTTATTTCTCCATCTGAATGTCTAATCCATCTGCAATCGGTATGTCCATCCATCCGTTTGCCCATCCATCCACCCACCCCTCCCATCCTTTTTTTTTCGCTTCCCTTCTTAATTTTTCCTCATTTCCTAACTTTGTTTCCTTTTCCTGCTCTATATTTTATTTCATTAGAAGGAATAAAGCTAGGCATCTCATTAACATCATAACTCATATGCTAATATTTGTTACACCTCAGATCAGCGTTGGTAATGTGTTTCATTGATAAGAACGTATCATAAATCGTGTTTATGGTAAGCAGAAATGGCAAGTTTTCTGGCTTCCGAATCAATTTTGCAGATGTCTACCTAAACACTTTGGTCAAAAGTCCGGTTATCGTACAGGTTGGTGATAACACTATCTTGAAAGTAGAGAAATCAGATTTGGGCACCTTAGATTGGAAGCACAATGGAAACCTATTGTCTGGTGGCGAACCTCACCTCACCCTTTTGAATCCCAGAAAAACCGAGTTGGAAATTTCTGATGCAGGCCCGGAGCAGGCAGGAGTTTATGAGGTTTTCCTCAAAGAGGGCGGATGTGTGAAACGTAAAGAAATTCGAGTCCAGACAGGTCTGTATTGTTTGGTCACTTTTTTCAAGCTCCCGGAAGTTGTGAAGTTGAAAGTACAAACCTAAAATTAGTAACCGCTGTGGTAATGAGAGTTATTCCCGTGAAATGACATGATTTGAATATTTTTTCCGTTATGCTGCATTCTATTAACCTTAAGTTTTTCCCAAGTATTTGCCTTTTTTAAATTTAACTTTATCTCGTGGTTTATCCGGCAGTTCACTTTATGCGTTGCATGGTCTGACACTGGTGGACTCTAAAACATTATGGTCGTACGGGTTCTACTAAGTGTCAGAGTAAGACATGATTTCGGGGAAGCTATGGTTGCAATTTTCTTTGAAACACCAAAAGTGTACACTGAAAAATCAATGATTGGTCCTGATTCCGTTGCAGACTGACAACAGCTAAGAATAATGCAGGCCCTAGTGCCCTTTTTGTGTGTTAATTCCTTACCCTATCACCAAATTTTTGCTCCGAAAAGGGCCCTTTCTCTGGTAAGAGAAAATTCAAAGACAAAAAAAGATTATTCCTTTCAGGAATAAAGAAAATATTCCACGACTTGAAAGACTCTTCTCTAGAACCAGAATGCTATTTACGTAGACTATAAGAGTACAAAGCATCTCTGTAAACTTTTAACTAAGTCACGTGATTTCTTTTATTTCAATTTTGATGGTTTAACTGATCAGTGTAAACCAAAATATAACAATACGTATATGTATTCTTGAGATATGGTTGAGTCAATCTTAAAACAATGTTTAAATATCTTATTGGGATTGATTGACTTAACCATCAGACACTGTTGGGCAGCCATTCTGAGTTCGACGAATATCCATAGAAATCAATAAACTATCGGTTTTTGTTGGTGTTTGTTGGATTCGGAGTGACTGCTTAGAAGTGTCTGAGACATATATTGCTTTAATATTTAAAAGAAGTTGTATATAAATTTTTATATTTTTAGATACATTTATATATATTATTTATTAATATTATTTATGTCATATTAATTTTGTTTTAACACGACCCCACAAGTCTCTGGCTTTAGGTATTTACTGTGTTTAAATAAAGTTTTATTATTATGATTATATACTTATAAGTTTATTTCTCTAATAGAAGGGGAACGCTATAAAGTTTGGTCACACGACGCAAATGTTGATGTTTGTGCTGGTCAAATGCCTAAACTCAGAGTAAATATTTCTGGACATGAAGATGATGTCAACATACGCTGGCGTTACAAAAAGGAATACGTCAAGAACGGAGGGCATTATGGTATAGGATATGGAGGAATATATCTTGTTGTATACGACGCCTTGCCTGTTCATTCAGGATGGTACTATGCAACTGTTTATCGAAAGAATGATGGTCGTAAACTTGGCGCAACACAGTTCCTTTTGACAGTGCGAGGTAAGATTACTTTTATACAAACTGTTCCGTGCCCTTTCAAAGAACAAAGTAATTGTAAAGATATCAGTGGTCTTTCTTCGATCCTCCCTCCCAAATCTTTTAACTTCTCTATTTTTGTTATCAAATAGCACAATTTCAATTCTATCAATACCATGAAACGAAAAGTACTCTTCTATCTCTATCTTACAGAAGTCCACTTAAAACGTCTTGTCCCGGATACCGTAAGGATAATGCGTACAACTTCAACCATCTTGAAAGTTGAGAAATCACAGTTGGGCTTTTTATCATGGACGCATAATGGAAAGGATGTGTACGGCAAGGAACCTGGTTTAAATTTTTTAAATCCAAGTAAAACCCAACTACAAATTTCTAATGCCCGAGCGGAGCATGGGGGTAAATACGAGGTTACACTCAGAGAAGGCGAATGCAAGTTGCAGAAAGAAATTAATGTGGATATAATAGGTTTGTGAGTTAGTAAGCTCAGTTGAGATCGGGTAATTTAGTATTATCAACTGAGTTGATATCGTAAATTGGCTACCGAAAAGAGTTTTAAAGCCGATTTTTGGAGCGTTAGCCCTTTGTCAGAGCGGGTAGAGGAATAAACGAACTGTGTGTGTTTATATGCAGAAATGGAGCTACGCTAATTGTAGTTCGAACGCGGCGAAGGAAGATAAGTTTAATTCAGTTCTCAGTGAGGGCTTAAATTTTGTTCTCTTTTCCAAAAAGCCTAACAAAATTTCAGTTAAGCAAGGCGTTGAAAAGTTCCGCGGCGAAGGAAGATCAGTTCTTAGTAAGGGCTTAAATTTTGTTCCCATTTCCGAAAAACCCGACGAATTTTCATTTAAGCAAGATGTTGAAAATATCCTTCGCCGCGTTCAGTTAAATGCCTTTTTTACGATAAGGAAGACGATTTTAACACCTCGAACAAAGATACTTTTCAAAACACTTCAGTCGAAATGGACTCCCCCAGAGGGTCAATTCGCATCTTAAGATTTTTTAATCAAAAAAATGTTATCACGATATTAACAAACTTAAATTCAATCGAAACGCCAAATTTTCCAGCCTTTCTTCGGAAGAATGGTTGGCACTAAAAAGTCTAAAAGAACGCAAAGACACAGTTAATCAAAGCGGCCGAAAAGGAGGCGCAGTCGTTGTTAGGGAGGCCGAACTCTACCAAGAAGAGGCTTTGCGGTAACTTTCTGACACCTCTTGTTATGAAAAAGTTGACAAAGGTCTCACTTTCATCAACTAAAACATCGTCAAAAACACGATAAACGACCAATTTTCGGTCAGTACAACGGCTCAAAACCTGAACTCTACGGTCGCTTCATTAACGACTGCATCGGAGCTACCTCCTCTACCAGAGAGGAACTCACTCAATTTATAAGCGCTGTCAATTTCTCTCCTCCGGCTCTGAATTATACCTGGGAAATTTCCGACACTTCTTCGGTTTTTCTAGACATCAAAATTTTAATTGAAGGCAACGGTCTATGCACTACTACAAACCTACAAATTCACATAGTTACTTGTTGTATTCATCTTCGCATCCATTACATATCAAGAACTCTATACTTTTTTTACAGTTGCTCAGTCTTCGTCGTTTACGTAGTTTAGGTTACATAAAAAAGATTCAGAAACTGGCACTGTCTTTTCGCAACCTCCATAATTTCATTTAAACGCGTAAAAAAAACAAATAGGCAGCTTTTTGGTCAAAAGTTGATTTCAAACCAATGACTAACCTGGAACTGTCAAATGCACTCGCGCACGGTGCAAAACTTTTCCATTCATTCATAACGTTGAGAAAAGGTTGGGACCCAAGAGATCCATCAAGGTCACTGATCACTTCACGAGCACCTCTGCCGATGTCATCTATTGCATAACTTGCACTTATTTAAAGAAGTTATACATTGGTGAAACAGGAAGACTTTTAGATGACCAATTCCGAGAACACCTTCGCGACGCAGAAAGATATGACATGGACGCATCCAAATCAGTCGCTAGACTCTAAATCTCCCTTATCATTCTAAGCAGCATATGACAATTCGCAGCCTTTCCCTACATCTAGGTAGTTCAGAAAGTCGCAAATCTTTAAACCAAAAACTTTATCTTTCAAATCAGCACTCCTAATGCCTCCGGTATCAACGAGCGCTTTTCATTCAACTAATTGATTTTTGTTTTCCCGTCACCATATTTACACCAATAGCGTAACCCCCTTTTTTGCATAATAACACACATACAACCCACAATTCCTCCATTCGCTCTGACGAAGAGCTTACGCTCGAAACGCCAGCTTTGAAATTCTTTACTTTGACCAATTCACGTTATCAACTTAGTCGATATTACCCTGTTATACTCTCCTACCGACGTAGCACCACAGTATCTTTAGAAACTAACCCCCTTTACTCAGTTGAGATAGCTTGTTCTGGCTATTCAAATAAGTAACACGGATGATAACACTTACTAAATTGCGCTTAAGAATAGCCAGCATATAACAGTCGTAATTGCTTTCCAGTATTATGGAGACATAATGCTACAAACTTCTCCTCTAAAACCAATGATATAACTGCAATCAGAATATATATATCTTATTAGACATTTTGGTGTGTAGTATCGCTGAGTATTTTTACGAGTTGTACCGTATTTTGACGAGCACCTTTAGGCTTATCAAAATACAAACAACGAGTAAAAAAACTAAGCAATATTTCACACTAAAAGGTCTAATAAGTTATTTATTATCCAACCCCTCTTTTGGTGCCAAGTGTCATTTCTTGGAAGGCGGGAAATGCTATGAGGATAAAGAAGCGTAGCGGGCGCAGCCGACCGGTTAAACAGCTGTTTTACAGTACAAAATAACTAACTGTACAATATCGCAGGATAATTGCGCTCTATGGTTATACGTTTTATATTTTCCCGGTTAATTGTTGTCTTACGGAACGAACAGCTTTCTTATTTCTTGGCTCATAGGCGAGTTTTCTTTTTCTGCATTTTGATCAGGAATATGGGCATCTCTCAAATAAGTGGGACTTGTAGCTGTCACAAGGTTTAAAATGAGGCCATAATTACCACTCTCTTTAAAAATTTATCTCTAAAATTGGCATTCCACCTTTTGTAGACCAGCCCCATTGCAAAAATCAGCTAGGTGCATCGAAATCCTACAAATATGCAATGATAGTGATTCAGTCGATGAAAGCAAAGTGTGTCATCTTTCTCAGCGTTGAAAGGCGAAGTTCACGGTGACATAGCTGTGAAATCATACCTCACACTCATCAATATTGTTTTAACACCGCAGGAAACTTTAAACTTTCATCGTTGAGTTCTGTTGACGACGTCTGTGTTGGTGGAAACGCTTCTTTCAAGATCGATTTAACCGGCGATTTATATAACCTTAGATACTACTGGGGACAACAACACTCATACTTGCCGAAAAATGAACATTTTGAGGAGAAGGCGGATGGGAAAATTCTGAATATAATCAACGCTTTAGCTATACATGCTGGAGTATATACTTTTTATGTTAAAACTAAAGAGTGGTATATGGTTCAGTCCATTTCGTTTGAGTTGAAAGTTCGTGGTAAGATCATTGCTACTTGCAAACATAATATAGTCTCTTAGGAAACATCATACAGACCTTTGCGACAGTTTTATTCTTTTCAATTCTGTACATGGAATCCTCTCTTCTTCCTTCCTTCCTTTCATCCATCCATTTATTTATTTCTCCATCTGAATGTCTAATCCATCTGCAATCGGTATGTCCATCCATCCGTTTGCCCATCCATCCACCCACCCCTCCCATCCTTTTTTTCGCCTCCCTTCTTAATTTTTCCTCATTTCCTAACTTTGTTTCCTTTTCCTGCTCTATATTTTATTTCATTAGAAGGAATAAAGCTAGGCATCTCATTAACATCATAACTCATATGCTAATATTTGTTACATCTCAGATCAGCGTTGGTTATGTGTTTCATTGATAAGAACGTATCATAAATCGTGTTTATGGTAAGCAGAAATGGCAAGTTTTCTGGCTTCCGAATCAATTTTGCAGATCTCTACCTAAACACTTTGGTCAAAAGTCCGGTTATCGTACAGTTTGGTGATAACACTATCTTGAAAGTAGAGAAATCAGATTTGGGCACCTTAGATTGGAAGCACAATGGAAACCTATTGTCTGGTGGCGAACCTCACCTCACCCTTTTGACTCCCAGAAAAACCGAGTTGGAAATTTCTAATGCAGGCCCGGAGCAGGCAGGAGTTTATGAGGTTTTCCTCAAAGAGGGCGGATGTGTGAAACGTAAAGAAATTCGAGTCCAGACAGGTCTGTATTGTTTGGTCACTTTTTTCAAGCTCCCGGAAGTTGTGATAGGTCAAAATGAAGTAAATATAAAGTTTAGAATAGCCAGCGACTGTTTTTTCTTATGCTGATTATACATTCATGCCACAGGGGAAATCAAAATTTGGTCGATGAACTCTCATTTAGACATCTGTGTTGGTGAAAAAGCTTCCTTTGCAGTAGAAGTTAACAGCAATTTTCATGGCTATGATTTCCACGTTATTTGGAGTCATAACATGGTTCCTGAAGTACACGAAAACGAGCATTTTTCTCTGCGGATGAATAATACGGCGCTGTATGTCCACAATGCTTTACCTTCTCACTCTGGAAACTACACCGCCTTTGCAGTTTTAATGCAGAATGGGTCACCTGTCGACTCTGTATACTCCTTTACTTCTGTTGTTTTAAGAGTTAGTGGTAAGAAAATTTACTTATGAATTGAAAACGTCCTTACCCTTTCCCGTACACAAATATTTACCCATCTGTCCTCTTCCTTCATTTCTTTCTCCTCTTCTCCGTATTATTTTCTCTCTCATCTTAGTTATTCCCCTCTATCTCATTTATTTTAATCTTCTTTCTACTTTCTATCTTCTTTTTTTTGTTCAAATGTTTAAGTTTACTAAATTATGTTTGTATGACCTTAACGGATGCAAATGATTGTCACTCGATTTTCGAGATAATTTAATCATTTGGATTTAGTTTGCCATAGATGGTTTATTGTGGCGCGTTTTATTGTCAAAATAATCCAACAATCATACTTTTAAAAGGACAGACAATTTAATCATCCCAATTCTACTATTCTGCAGATGTATTCCTGAATACCTCGGTTGAGAGTCCTATTAAAATAAAGGCTGAGGATTCTGCTATGTTGAAAGTTGAGAAATCAGACCTGGGCGCCTTATTTTGGACGCATGGTGAAGAATTGGTGAACGATAAGGACCCTCACTACACCTTTTTAAACGCTGATAAAACCGAGCTGGAAATAGTAAAAGCAAGCCCGGAGCAAGCGGGAATCTACGAAATTTTACTCAAAGAGGGCAGATGCGAGATAAGAAAAATCATTGAAGTGCAGCTATATGAAGAAGGTTTGTCCCTTGCTGTTTCAGAGGATTCAGAGGATTCAGAGTTTTGGGCGATCACGAACACTTTTCTGGTTTACATCGAAATCTTCCTAGGATTTTTCTCCCGCGAGTGGTACATTATACCTGTTGCTGGAGTGGGATTGGTTCTTTTAATCTTTGTGTTGGTCAAAAACTTTGGTAGGCTGAGAAAGAAGGAAAAAAGGTAAACAAAAAAGCATATTATCACAGTACTAAATACTATCTCGGACTACAATTGAAGGGAAGACAAAGAAACAAAAATTAGGTTATATCTGAAGCCCATATGTAAGAAAGAAATACATGTAAAGGACATTTAACCTTTTCGCAAACATATCTGGTTAAAAACCACCTTCATTTCTAGATGGATTTTTAATGATAATTTGTATCGCCTGGCTATTTTGAGTGTAAATCTCCAGTTTTAAATTTAATCTTAGCCTTGGGAACATGTAATATAATTTTTATCATGACACAGCTTATGGAACAATTTTCAATTAAATGTTACCGCTGACTTTATCGATTTTGCCTCACCTGACTTCAGGAACGTACATCGGATGAACCTGTTACACAAGGAGTCAGTATCTAAACTCTAAGCTGCTATGAAATACTTTCTTCCTTTTTCTAGTTACATATTTTTGTGGTGAAGTTGCATTGAATTTGTTTGTTACATCTTTTTTTGCCACATTTTAAATGACAGACATCAGGAAGTTGAAGAAGGACCACCCAGGAAGCATCTTGTATTGCAGAAATCAATTGACTCAATTCAAAATGACCTCATCTACACATCCGCTAACCAAGCATATCCATCTTACGCGGACGACTTATCCATCAGCAATACGTACGCGAACATGAACAGTCGTATCCCGTCGTCCGCTTTGAGTCCGTACGGGCACGGACCCCATTACAGTGGTATTATACCAGCTCACGATTCGCTTACCGGGCCAACCGTCCCACCTCCAACCGAAGAATATTTAGAGACCGAGACGTCCACCGAAGGGAGCGACTACTATACTGCCTATAGTGACCTATAGGTTTTGGTTTGTTTGCTTCCTTATGTAATCGTTTTGGTTTTTAAAAAGTACAATTAAAAAGTTCAATTATTCAGTGAGTGTCATGGAAGAGTCATGGTATTCGCGAAAATCATACAAAACCACAAAGCAATGCATCGGAAAAGATGGCAAAGACTTTTCATCATCATTATCATTATCACGCGAGAATTGCAGCGACAGGGTAGTAAAAGTATAAACTGGATCTGAATTGGAAAAAGTTTGTGAGCTTCTCGCATGTCAAAGAACATTGTAAGGTGACCTATACGTGTAAAAGATCGCTTCGTATGCACTTTTCCCAAACATTTTGATTGGACTAATTTAATCCTTGAGATCAACATGTATTGCTTAGTGTGTCTTGGCTTTTTATTTTTCCCTTGGGGTTTAAAAGAATCATGATAAAATTGAGAGCGAAAGAGACATTACACTGCACCAATGGTTGCGAAGACGATTAGTGGTAATGGTCTCTTAAAGTTTCCTTTTGTCGCAAAGACAGCCTTGGTAAACTGTAAAAAGTCAACGATAACTGATAAGCATCGCTGCAAAAAATACACCCAATTGCCATCGAGTTCTCTGTAACTCAGCCCTATAAGACATCCTCTCTTAACCGTACTGAAAGATACGTTGAAAAAACTCAGCCGAACTTATAAGTTACAACAAAACAGATCTAAGGATTCTACAGAGTCCAAGGATTCCAAGTTGATTGGAATCGTTGACAGTAAATACCTGTAGTCTTCAATGGAGATTTTACGGGCGAGTGGTACATTGCGCTGAAAGACGCAAAGAAAAAAACGCGCTGTTGCGCATGTTGTGTTGGATGATCCTCATTACACCATAGAAAATCAAGTCACTATACAGCTCCTCTTCCAAAGTACCAAACTTACTCAGTCATTGACTTGCTAGTATAACCTGTCACTTCGAGTCATCCCAGGTCCTTTCGTTTAGACTTTCCCAGTCCACCAGTATCAACGCTGACTTTAGGATTCTTACGCCCTAACTGAGGAACGCGATTCTAATTATCATGATGACTTCAAAGAACTCGTTTAGGTTTCGATGAATTGATATGTAATAAATTAATATTTTCAACCTCAAACACCCTTATAAGCTTCATATTCGTTCTGTGGTCTTATTAAGACCTTTAATTACAGGTTAACGCACTCAGCGAGTGAATTATCGGGATTTACCTGCACGAATAAAGGGGGTAAGTTTTTAGATAAACTGTGGAGCTGCGTCGGTGGGAGAGTATAACAGGGTAATTTAGTGTTATCAACTTAGTTGAAACAGTAAATTGGCCATCGTAAAGAGTTTCAAGGATGACGCTTCGAGCGCAAGCCCTTCTTCAGAGCGATTGGAGGAATCGTGGGTTGTGTGTGGGTTTACATACAGAAAATGAAGCCACGCTATAAGTGGGAATATGATATCGAGAAAAAAGAAAAATATAGGTTGAATGAAAAGCGCTCGTTGATACCGTGGAGATTAAGAGTGCCGATTTGGAAGATAAATTTTTGTTCTAGAGTTTTACGGCTTTCCGAAATGAAATGAACGAGATATTTCATTTCGAGTTCACTGTCTGTGAACGAGTACCGTTAAATCCCGACAATTTACAAAGAAACACTGCATTGAAACCAATATATACTGGGTAGACCAGACAGAATGTTGATTTTAAATTTAAACACCTCAACTAGCTTGAATGAAAAATTTAAAATTCGCAACGTCACCTTTCAAAATAGATATTCCTCAGGCAGTTGCTTTCTTGATGTTTTTAGGAATTGCATCATCAAGAAGAGAATCAATGTCTGCATCTGATAAATCGTCACATTTGAGTCAGCCGAAGCCGAGGTGTAATGACAGAGGTGTGTTGAATCTATACTACGGCTATTACACCACGATAATGACATCAAGGAGGTTGTTTCTTAACAACCCAGTATCACGTGGTACAAGTTAGCCAATCAGAAAATTGGAATTCGTACAGTATATGAAAGTTAAATAATAATTAAGAATAACTAATGTAGAACGTTTGAGATAGATATGAGATAGACATGATAACTTCGGCAGTGGTATAATATGGCTTGATTCTCGGACAATAATCGCCACCGCTTGTCGTGTTTGGGTTTGTCTACTGACCCTGCTTTGAGTCCTCAACTGCAGTTCTTCTTTTGGTTTTATTTGTCAAAGATCGATTTTTTTCCCGGCCTGATGTATCGAGTAATTTGTGCCATTTCAAAAGTCTAGAGAAATTGTTTGGGTCATTGTTCTAAAAAGATATTTAATGTGCCAAGGTTCACAGAAAAGCCATTTCTTATTCTAAAAGATGATTCCATTTTACGAACCGCTCTCTCCGAATCCCTTATCACTTCGATGAAATTCGAACACCTCTCAAACCAAAGAACAAAAACGACATTCTGATTGGTGCGAGATACATACCCTAAAAGATCTGATTGGTGCGAGCAACATACCACTCTCTGTAGGAGAACATACATGTTATTTTTTTTTTAAATAAAAAAAATAACTGAAAATTGTCAACTATGGGATTACTAATTGATCCAAATTTTCCAAACTGACATAATGAGAATCGTTTGGCAGACAGTAAGGAGAATAACTAATGAGATCTTGGGAGTTAAAGGGTTAAAGGAGGAATGGAGAGCGGAGGAACTGGGAACGGGGAACTGGGGACGGGAAATGAAGAATGCACAATGGACAATGAGTAATAGGTAATGGGCAATGGGCAATGGGCAATGGGCAATGGGCAATGGGCAATGAGAATCGGGAATGGGAGTGGGGAACGGGGAATGGAGAATGGGCAATGGGCAGTGGAAAATGGGAAATGGAAAATGAGAATTAGAAAATGAAAAATGGGGAATGGGAAAATGAAAGGGGAAATTTAAATGGGATTTTGTTATGCGGTTTTTTTTTTTCATGTTTTTTCAGTGGTCATAACCAATATCCACGCTTTTTTGTTTCAAAAACATTCGATTAGAAAAACTTACCAAATTTTCGCTAAGGGAGGCTTCCAAAACATTCATGTTTAGCTGTCATGATATGCAAGATATGCAAGGATAAAATTTCACCTGGAAAAAAATTACTTTGGTCCGCTAGTCTTGTTTGGCGTGCGATGGCAGAATTTCCCTCGTCCACCTGATCCTTTTTCTTTCGAGTGGAATGAATTTGAGTGCCGCTTTAATTCAAATGTCTGTGACTCGTACCCTGGGAGCGGTTAAACTGGCAGCAATTTAGAAAACATATGGCTTCTACGAGAAATTCTCCTTCCGTAGCAAGTATTGAAGCCAGCACAGGTAGCGCAAGTGTCAACGGAAACGAAAAAATTCGCGCGATTTTTTTTTCTATTTCTTTTTAGAGTGAGGTAGGTTTGTGATTGACGTATGATTCAATCCGTGAAGTTTTCATCAATGGATATTAGTTTGATGCGACCGCCTCCAAAATTTGGAAAGAGCAAAAATGTTGCCAATCTTTGGTTTGCAAAAAAATGAAAAATACTTGAATTCACTTTAGTGCGACTCGGCCCTGATAGAGGTTTTCTTGATCAGAAGCGGTTCCAGCTAGCGGTTGCAGCGAAAATGAAAAATCATATCTAAGAATAATCGCACGTCCTTAAGACGAGCCAAGCTGATAATTAATTTAAAAGGTTGCAAATGGTAATCTACTTAAATAGTTTTAGCACGTGATGTATCAGACTCCTGAACTTCCGTGGGTTTCCCACAAATATGAGTAACCTCTTCCTTAAAGTGTGAACAAAAACCCGAACGGAGCCTCGATTTGGGATTCCCTCCTTCGGGAATTTGAGTGAAATTATCATAGAAATTATTTTCGTATTGCGCTAAACTTCAGATAATGACTTAACGAAACTGGTCAGGGTAACTTCTTTCCTTGTCATCAATTTATTCCGTTTCTTTAATTTTGACCCAAAGCGTTTTTGATAGAGAATCTGGATAGTGATAATGACCGCTGAAAAATATATGTTCTGCATCATAAAAAGTAAGTCTAAAAAGAAAAAATCATTTTTTCTCTTTAAACTTGATTTCCTATTTTCAATTTCCCATCCCCCATTCCCGCCTTTAGTGACATACCATGCACTCCTGTTTTTGTTTTGTTTTTATTGTCTTTTTTCCGCATGTCTTTAAAAGTGTAACTATCAGGTGCACTCGAGGTCTTCTTAGTCCTTAACTTAAATTCTGATAAACCCATCAAACGGTTTTCGATCTTTAAGGCCTGTTTACATGGGGGTGGGGGACCCCAGGTAGGTGAGGTTACCCGTCTTGGCGGGATAACCCGCTTGTCCATATAATTTCTTATTTTATTTTGATCACGTTTACATGATAGGTAGGGTAACCCTGTCAGCCGGGGAGTCAATTTGCCATGTAAACGTGTCAAGGTGGAGTAACCCGTCTAGCCGGGGTCGCGTTCATGGCAAAAAGCTCAAAAGCGAAGCATGTATGTTTTAAAACTTTGTACATTTCCTAGCCGTCTCATGGCAGAAATCACCCGAAACCGCAACGGACACCCAAGGAGCGTAAAATGTTCACATTTCGGAATATTTAGCGTTATAAATCAACGCATTAAGTCAACGGTTCCTCGCGAAACCAAACACCGCGTAATAACGCGTGACGCTTTCATGAATAAATACATATGTGTCCGAGAATTAATCTTTCGTCTTTCTCGAGATGTGAGCTTGGGACGCCTCTGCTCAAACTCCTTAATTGCAAGCGCAACAGCAACCTAAAAAAACCTCACTCCAGCACCCCGGGGTTGTAAGATTATATGTAAACGCGCTTTATTTTTCGACCACGGCTAGGCGGGTTACCTCACCTACCTGGGGTCCCCCACCTTCATGTAAACAGGCCCTTAAAGAGTCAATGTCTGAGCACTAAGCTACTATATACTTTTTCCCCTTCTGGTAAAATGTTATGCTTACGTTTAAATTCACTCATTGCACCCATCTTTTTTAGCCCCAACAAAAATGAAAGACA